TTAAATCGTTTTTTGTACATAACTAAAGGGATACACGCCCGTCGAGGTAGTTTAAAGTATATTTTTCGTACAAAACCAAAGGAATAAACACAAATCTGACGTCTTGCGCATGCGTATTGACTATGGGTATGCTGGTCTGACAGAACACCGGCCTATTGGTTGGGGCATTGCGCTTGGAATCCTGAGGTTCTGAGTTTGAGCCCCACTCCAACAGACTGCTACTCTGGGTCTCTGAGCAAAGACCCTTAACCCCACACTGCTCATTGGGCGCAGCACAGAGTGTGAATTTTGTTGCTTTATACTTGTGACAGTGTAATGACAATAAAGTTGAATTCTCTTCTATTCTAAGGGTGGTAAATATGTTTATGGACACACACCCTACTGGCTGTGTGTTAGAACAACAATGAAGGTGTGAATTTAGCTCAAATTATGGCAAAAAACATTATTCTCCACATTTATGGAATAAGTTCAGAATAACTTACATTCGAAAAACTAAAGTCTGTTAACAAAAACATTCCAGTCCAAGTTGAACATATTTCAGTAAAAGACTCTTGATCATACTGGCAAAACTCAACTAAACTTAGCTACTGAAAACAATAATCGATGGGAGGTTGCAATGATATCATAGTTTAGCTGGATTTTATGTTTGAGATCCAAAGTTGATGTTGATGTGAATTTGGGATGTGATCAAATTAGCTTTTAACTTATTTATAGCAATTGACTTAGATAACTCTCAGAGGGGGTGCTTTAAAAAACCTACGATGCAGCGATAGTTGATTAACACTGGGTTACACTCGCCTATTCAGCCAGGCCAACTATTCCCTTTAACGACCCCCCCCCTTTCAGAGACATAGACAGGTATGGGGCATTGCAGGCTAACTAAGAATCCAAACGGCCCCCATTCCAAGGGGGTGGACCTGTTTGTCTATTTCAATTTGCATGTTTTCAAACCAAAATCAAGGCTTTGTTGGGTTTCTGTATTAAACCTCAAACTCAACGCTATTTCTGACATTTTGAACTGAAAAAGCTTCCTGGATGGGGAGAGAAACATCTTCAAACTCGGAAACAAAGTCCAGTGGATTGGGTTTTTTTTTTTACTTTTTTGGAAAAACAGGCATTAAATATCACGTCAGTCAATTTAATCACCTGTAATGTCCTTTTTCTCTGTCTAGGTCTTCCTCTGGATTACAAGTTCCCCAGGTTTTCCCCAGAGAAGCCCTGCACAATCGGCTACTACCCCAGGCCTCCAGATTCCGTGCTGAAGAGGTGTGAGGATCTTTCATGAAAAAGAAAAAAGAAAACACAGGATAATTAAAAAAAAAGGTCCCCTCTAACCCCTCTGCCTCAGGAGAGGAATGTGCCTCTGTTTTTTTTTTTTGCCTGTAGTCTCCCTAACATCGCAGAGCGCATACACTCATCACCCATCCAGAGAAACCATGTGAATGTAAGCCACAGTAACTGTAACAACGCCTACATTTGAAGTTGTTTTGTGGTTTAGTGTCCCAAACCTGTGGAAATACAAGAAAAATAACAGTGTGTGTGTGTCCTCCTCTCTTGTTTTAAGCAGTTGAATCAGTTCAACTGCTCTAAAAGAAGCTGAACCTCTGTTTGTGTCTCTTAACGTGAACTGATTACCTCAATCTGCTGTAATATAAACAGGTGAACTCATCCCCTCACCTCCTGGTTCATCGTGTCAGTAATTCTGTAACGGTGGAGTTGCGTCTCTGTAACGATGGTTTCTATGTATGTATCTTAGTAACCTGAACGTGAGGTAAAAGCTCTCCCTGTGGAAGTCACTGTCGCTCTCAGACTAGCACAATACTGTCTTTTATGGTTGGGTTTATATGGTAGCTGCTTCATGATAACAGTGAAAGATGAGCTGAATATCCTGTGTGTTTATTAAAGCCGGGCTTACACTGTGAGATTTTTGTCAATCGTTGCACGCGGCTACAGCTCAAACTGTACAAAGAAGCCGCCGGGTTTCACAGCTCACAATGTATGTTCTCACACTGTGCGGCCCGACGCTCTGATGCGATCTAACTGCTCACTCTGTACGTCTAAAAACCACACGTCGGACTCGGGGCCGAGAGATGGTGCTGGTCAGACAATCTGGAAGAAGAAGTAGAACTTCCTTGTTTGCACATGTGCAGTGAGGTTCTGGTAAATCAGCAGGATTTGAACATGTTTGATTTTCTCCTTAACTTACGATTCCCGGTGGGGAGGTGGTCGCCCCTCATTACCCCCTGTACGCTACACGACACAGGACGCACAATGAGGCTCCAACTCGGCCCTATTGAAAAAAATTTTTGCACAGCAGGAAAATTGGCCCAATAAGGGCAAAAAAAAAAATCGTACAGTGTACGCCCGGCTTTAGTGCTACATGTTTTTGCTTGTTTCTAGATGTGGACCATGTGTTACTTCATTGGTGTATACCGACCTCTGAATGGGTATTATTTGTTGTGCAGTCGTACTCTGCGAGTATGTTGGTATCTCTTAATGGTTATTGGTATCTTTTTTTTTTTTTTTACGGGATAGAGCATCCTTTGGAAATCCAGAGGAACGAAAACCTTGAAAATCCTGATCAGCTGATCTTGGACTCATGATGTTTTTTTAGTTTAATTCTTTGAATCCATCCTAAATATCCTTCATTTTCTGGTAGGTAAAGCCGGGCGTACACTGATATGATAGTTTCAATCGTCGCACGCAGCTACAGCTCACACTGTACAACGACACCGCAGGGTTTAAAAGTTCGCAGTTCACCATGTTTGTTCTCACACTGTGCGACCCGACGCTCTGATGCGATCTACCTGCTCACACTGAACGTCTAAAAACCACATGGGCCTGAGCTCCGCATTGAGATGGCGCTACTCGGGCTCGTCTATCCAGTATGGAAGAAAAACAGTCTCATTGGAATCTGCCTTTGGAACAGAAGGCAGATTCACCGAATTTTAAACACTGAATTCCTTACACTCAATTTTTATCTGCTAAAAATTCACCAGAAAAAAATTCAGCTGCAAAAGTGTTGACCTTTTGGTGAACTCAAGCCAATGCAATCTACACTCGAAAGAGTCGAGCAGCTTCTAGCCAATGAAATTAGCTCATTTGGTCACGTGACACAACGGCTGTGCTCAGCGCTGTTCCCAGCTGAATGAGGAATTTTTTTTTATTAAACAGATAGAATTATAAAACGTCAGTTAGCTACTAACAGATTGCTATTAGAGTTTTTCCTCTTATCAGACTGGGTGAAACAACTGAGCCGATCACAGCTAGTACGGCACCCCTGTCTGCCAAGGCTATTGGTTTGATCCGGAAGAAGCAGCCAGTGGCAAACTTTTTTTCCGCTTCTTCCGGATCAAACCAATAGCTGTCTGTTCTTAGCTAACTGACGTTTTGTAATTCTGGTTAACAAAAAAAAAATTCCTCATTCAGCTGGGAACAGCGCTGAGCACAGCCGTTGTGTCACGTGACCAAATGAGCTAATTTCATTGGCTAGAAGCTGCTCGACTCTATCAAGTTTAGATTGCTTTGGCTTGAGTTCACCAAAACGTCAACACTTTTGTGGCTGAATTTTTGCGGCTGTCAGTTTTACAGAAACAACTCCATTTTACTCAGTGCCCCCAGTCCGTGATTCTGAGTTTTTATCTGAGAGGAAGAAGAAGAAGAATCCTTGTTTGCGCACTGAGCGATTTACCCTCTATCATCTTACAACGGCCAACTGAATTTCAAACATGCTTGATTTTCTCCCAACCCCACGATTCCGTGAGAGGTTGATTGCCCCTCGTTACTCACTGTACAGTACACTACACGACACAACATCTGGCTGAAAGTCGGCCCGATCGAAAGATTCTCGAACAACTGGAGAATCTTAGCCTCGTGAGACCATCCTGATCTCGCGAGCTTTCAAGGTTTCACCCGCAGATCAGTCTGAAGACTCTCCGTTAAAGAAAATTTGGAGCCGTTCACCAAACGAACGTCCAATCAGCGTTGGCTTTGAGGCGGGTTGAGGTG